TGTTTGAACAAAGGAGACAAAGCAGAGGCGTGCAATAATAAATAAACAATCAAAGGAGTATTTATTTTAAGTATATTGTTACTATTAAACGGGGGTATCTTAATATTACAATGCTGCAACTATTAAGTATGAGTAATTGCTTCGTTACACGTAACAAAACGAACACGATTTCTCGCGTATTTTACAATTCCAATTTAAAATTCTGGATTTATCGAAAGCTGTGCCACGAAGTTGGCCTATAAATAAAGCCAAAAGTATCGCCACGTATAAATCACTATTTTCTAAGTATTACATGCTAATTAATAACAACTAATCTACGCCGTATCTATAAAAGATGTTCGTGATTTATAGATATCGAATGCGGTTAAACTGCAACTAGATCGATAAATTTATGTAACGTTCGCCGCGTCGGAAATTTTGTACTATTTTTTTCAAAATAATAAGAAAAATGTCCCAAGCAAACGGAATACACAGTGCACACGTATCCTGCCGCTATGATTTATTGTCTTGCTCGTATAAACATTTATTCCATAATATATACGAGCGTGTTTACAACGCGCACCGCTTAAAAAATTACACGCAACGGCAAGTCGAAGATTTACAACACAATTCTATCGAAGGAGTGCAACGCGAAAATAATGTTTCTTTTGTTCACCTCGCGGCTGATTTGCAAGAAAAATTCTCACCTGTTCCAGCTTTCTCGCGAACCAAACGTCGTTCCTTTAATTTCGTATTCAGAACGTGGACTGAAAACGCGAAAAAATTTAGCGACGTTCCCTGACGTAATCCGCGAATTCATAGAAAATTAATCGCCAAGCGAGAGCTGAAAGCTTCGCATCTGTTTTTTCAAGTGCGCCGGTGAAATTAATTTTAGCCTCGACTGGAAGTAATTATTCAGCGAACCGAGGGGCCCTGTTAATATTTCACGAAATCGTAATTTTCCGTTCTCTTTCGTCGGTTTCATTTTTTTTTCGGCGCGTTGCGAAATTTTTCGTTTTTATGATCCGAAAAAGTTTCAATCACTGCGGAATTAATTAAAAAATAGAGCCACATTATCATTAAACAGAGTGTTTTTAAATTTACAGATACAAATTAGAAATGTAAATTCCTAGAAACATGAAAATACAATGTTCAAAATGTGCAGAATTTTTATCAAATAATAGTATTCTTTACATCCATAGAGTAAAATGAAAATTGAATTCCAATGCAAATGGTGACTACGACGTTAAAATTGCTTTTTTATTACTAATATGTCTGAAAGTAAATTCCCTTTGTAAAATATTATAAGTTTGTTTGTTATTTTCTCAAACACACTCCACTTAAAATACATGTTTGGAATACAAAGTTAAAATGTTTCATTTCATGCTATAGGTTATTAAAATACAATTATTCTTTTAACAAAATTTCATTTGCTACTTAAAATGTCACTTTATATGATCTGTTTAGCATGAATAAATATTTCAAATAGTATTCCAAATATTTTCTTAAATTTTTATCCAACTCTGTCAATGTATAACTATGTTCCAATTATATCTATATGGAAAAATAGAAAATTATTCTCTACTGTAAGTTACTTACAGAGTTGTTGAAATTTAGTATCAATAAATATTTCAAACAGAAATTCAAATACTTTTTAAAATTTTTATCCAACTCAGACTATAATTATGTTCCAATTATAGTATATAGAAGAAAAGAGAAAATTATTCTCTAATGTAGATTAAATATAGAGTGCAATAAATATGAGATGATGGGAAAACAAACAACTTAAATTATTTTGTTTGGGTTCCCGTTTGGGCGCATTACGCAATGGCGGATTAGCCAAACATCCGGGTTTCTGCACCGATAAAAATCGAATGAGAAATAGCAATGCTTAACGTTCTAAAAATTCAGATATTATTTTATCGCGTGTCTCAGGATAGCGATGCTGAAGGTAAACAGAATATTGGCTGCGCGGTTGTGCATCGACGCGAAGGGTCGTCTTTAACATCAAAGCACCGAGGCTGACCTTGAACAATTTACGTAGATAGGACATCCACCGTCGGCGAACGCCAGGGTGAGAAAAGGCGGTAACCGGGTCGAGCTAAAATCCCCATAAATTATTTACGTATTACTCAACGCGTCACGCGTTTGTATCCCGCAAAGTTGATGTCATTCAATACCGAACAATTTCTTGACGCCATTGCTTGATCGCCGCGCGACACACGAGTCGACCGATATCAAAAAAGACCTTTGGATAAATATAGTCCCCCGAGCTATTTGTTCATAGAACGTCAACGAACAGAAATTTATTACATCCCTAGGGATATACAGTATGGGACAAAACGATACCACACCTTCTACTACTATTTATCTCTGTATTGTAATCGACGATTGACTGATTCTTAGGAATACATTTAATTTTTTATTAAATTTCTAGTTATGCTTATTACTATCTTTGCGATACATTTGTGTATTACATGTATGAATGAATGAGACAAAAAGATAGCCTTGTAATTAATAATAACAAATGTATCCAAAAACGACAAGTATATTGCTTTTAATATTTTGTTAGTCCACCTTTGCATTGTACCCTTCTCTTTCAGAAGAGATTTATTGTGGAATTTCATTCTATACTTTCAAAATGGAGCATTTAAATCATTAGTCCTCGAATGGCAGAGTTTCTTAAGGCTAGTGGGGTCTTTCAAGTTTAGTGTGATTTTCACAAATTTTTAATACGTTAAAAATCATTTAAATACTTTCAGGCATATAATTTTAGAGGAGATTTGCTTTTTAAATCTCGTTAAATCGTTAGAGGACTGTAGTTGGTTTAAACCCTGATAAATTTTAATCCGAATTAGATAATTTTAGCACGAGGCCGTAGAGGGGACCCTTTTTTTTCAATCTAACAAGAAAATAAAACAGGAACGACCGGCAACGAACAAAGTCAAATTAATCCCTGGTATAAAAAGCGACTACGGAAACTGCATCCAACTAATTAACTGTGAAAACTGTAGATGAAGTATCTAAAATTAGCAGGTAGTTCGAACGAGTATCGATCTTTAAATTCGCTACGGTTCTCATCGCTTCCAAATAAAAATTGAATTTATTCCCTTAAACGATAGTAAAAATCCACTGTATGCTTAATATTACCTCCACTTATGCATGTAAAATATAAATATTCTTTTATATGCTCTTTTGTATATTCCATACATATTATTACTACATATTTGCATCCACTTTTTATTTTTCTTACTTTGTTTCTATATATTTATTTCGAGGCAAGATATAAAAATATGTTTTACGTCCAATATTATACATTTGGGTTCGTATTAAAGATTATAATAATTAATGAAATAATAGATTATAATAGAATTAATGAAATGGAAGTTTTATAAGGGGTTGCCTCAACCCCTAAATATAATATTTCGTATCTTATTTTAAGTATTTTTTGAGAATTAAACTTCACAAGTAACGTCATCAAGTAGCTTTCTGAGAATTAAACTTTCCCATAAATGCATAAACATCCACAGTCTAATAATAACAACTCTTATTCTGCTACACTCATTTAAAGAATTCCTTAAGCGTCCACCTAGAGAAGGGATCTTCGACACTGAAAATTTAATTTTATATTCAATAATAAAAAAGGGAATGAACTTTCCGTAACATTGAAATAATAATAATAATAACACAAACCATAGCAAACAATACGAAGCAGAGCACTCAAGGATCTAAGAGCACTCTAGGATGGCTCGTTTTACCAATTCAATTCACCGCGAATCGGTCAATTTGTGTCACCACGGGGTTAGATGGGTGGATGGATGACTTTAAAAAGAGAACCAAGTCAAAGCACGTTCACCACCCTGAGAAGACGAGTTCTTTCTAGCCTGCGATCGTTGTCGCCCAATTTTTGTTCAGAACGTTTGAGCGTCGCGACGCTTTCCTCCCCTACACCGTTTCGCCACACTGGCCGCTTTTGTCAGTTGCTCTAACGCGAATAAACCCTTACATTCGCGAGACATTCGACTCGCCTTCGTAGCAGGTGGAGATACCTGTCATGAAAGGGAAATTAAGGTTCATCGTACCAACAAAGTGTCAATCTTACGATGGCCTCGGCCGGCCCACACGGACTGTACACGCCACGGTACACCGGAGTAAAATACAAATACCATGTTCGCGATGGTCAATGCCACGCAACGTACACGCGTTCACGTGGGCAGAGACTAATGGTGGCCCATAAGCGCGGATCACCGAACGGAGCAATAGTCGAAGGAACGTATCTCCGCTTGGTAATCTCGATGCCAAATGCCATACACGTTTTACTGCCGCGTGATTAATGCACCGTATCGAGGCTAGGACGATGCTCTGGCTAAACCCCGAACTTGGTACTCTACGGAGTTAGGCGCGTGCTTGTTATCGATATTTAAAAAAATATCTCTTGAGACACGGTACCGCTTCGCACGGGTTCGGACAGTTGTCAGTCTATCCGGACGCGCAACGAGGTTATTCATCATCGATCGCCATGATCGATCGTCGTTGGAGGATCAGAGAACGTGCATTGTTCCAAACAGCTTTTCAGGTGTTTTATTAGTATTCATTTATTAACGAGGAAAACCTTTTGGTGCAAAAGGAAGTAATATGTAGGGAAAAATTAAATAAAAATTATACACAGAAAATATTATCGCTTATAAAATTTTGTAAAATAATTAACGTGTGGAGAAACGATACTGACATGTTTCAGAATAGAGAATTTTTAATGTATGGGTGTTGCTGAAGAATTTAGAGACTTTATGACTGTTTTGTGTTAAAATACAACTTCTGAATAATTTTGATCTATACAAACTGATTATTTCTGGATAGTCAAGTTCTAGTTGAACAATAATAATAATGAATAAGGAATTTACAAATGCCAGTGATGCAAAGGAATCTTGTAAAGGAATGCGAAATAATAAAATTCAAACATGGTTCAAAATGGACCCGAAATCTACCGTAATGAAAATTCGAAAATTGAGGAAAATACTCACCGGCGCTTTCCCGTTGGTTTTCTCCGTGTCGTTGTTCTCCAACAACGGAGCGCTGCTACTTTTTCCGCCCATCTCCACGGTCAGCGGTTCCGGTTTCAGCTGAAGGCTAGCGGCAGAAGGCGAGGAAGGTGCTCGAGGAGGCATTTCCAACAGTTCTCCAGAGCTTAATGAACTACTCGCGGTGGTGGACAAACCTATCGATCAGATGACCAAAGAAATTATTCACTCTGCGAAAGGCTACGAAACAAAGCTTCTTAAATTATAGAACGCGACGTTGCAGGAGGTCGCGTTAAAATTTGTGTTTCTTATACAATGTCGTTTAATAAATCGAATCGTTTTTCTGTCTGTTAATATATCATTTTGTCTTTCAACTCGGTCATTGGCAAATTAATAAATTGTAATGCTCCACGTCGACGAATTAGATCGCGACCGCTGTTTAGACCGACGATATATTCTTCAGATCCTCTTTAAGTGACTCCTTAAATAAAATCTATTCCCTTGTTAATGACTCCTATGGTGGATTTTTTCACACACAATAGTCACTTCTTTAAGTCATCCTTACTCAATTTGGTTAGTATTGGTTATCGCCTTTGAACCATACCCATTCGTTATTTAATTGGTTAACACATTGATTGTGTAATTGTATTTTATATGGACTTGGGTTTATGTTTTCTCTACTGTGTTAAAGGGTTTTGTAAATCAATAAATAAACAATTCTTAGGGGTTGCAGAAAATTTTGAAAAATATAATACATAGTCGTATAACTTGTCCATCCCGAATAATTTATGAAATATACGAAGAAGTGTTTTATAGAGAAATTATATGGTAGTCAAAGAGAACATTCGATGCTCGGTGTTTTTAAATAACCTGTCTACAAGACGTTAAGTTGCATATTTTTGTATAACAAAATTTAATTTTCTTTATTTGCCCTAAATCAAATTATTAACGAAATAGTTGTAAAAAAATGAATTCGAGGTAGCTGTACCATCTCATAAACTGGTAGATTACTTTAAAAAAGTACAATTTTTTGTGTGAGTAATGTCGTTTCTTCATGGTAGTAATTTGATTACTTACCAAGTGCTGACTAATAGTAAAATAATATTTTCCGAAAAATTTTATTCACCGAGTCCGAATTTAAAACGGAGAAATTCACGAAAAGACGCGAACGCGACGACGAACGATAATAGACTGGCTAGAATTTTCATACAACGAAAACAATTTTGTCCTTGCTCGCGAGAAACAGGCGCACGTGACCGCTGTAATTACTCGACTGATACCCGTATCGAATATTGGGGCTCGAGATCCTCGACAATCACCTTCCTTTTCTAACCCGACGAAATGAGAAATTCCGCGAACTACTACCTGGATTTCTCGACTCAAGAGATAAACATGCTTGGACAGCTCGGAGGTATAAATAATGTTATTGAACTTTAAAGAGCAAGGCATTCATTCCACTCTGTCTCGATCCAATCTAGCGAGAATCTATTCTATTTGTAATTATGATTTTAATCGTACACTCATTGGTAATAAGTGGAATTACAGCATGCATAAATTTGCCCAACAGATGTTTACTAGCCTTCACAGGATGTATAATATGACATTTTCAACTAAGATTTCAGCTCTTTTCTTTGTATACTCATTTGTAATACTAATGATAGTGAAATGTATACAAGATAAGACTGGCAGGAATTTATAATTGATGAAAAATGGATACTATGTAATCATAAATATATATTCATTCAATAGAAAAATAGAATATTAATTTAAACAGTAGTTAAAGGTTTATTCTCTTTGTTGTTTTACAAGTATGAAAGTAGTGAACTGACATTGTACGATTGTAATATCTTCGCAGATTCATAGTATTTTCCATTTTAATAATTGAAGAATATTAACAGATACTTTGTACAATTTTTACTACAGAGCATCTCATAAAAATAATTTTAATGGTGTTAAATCCAATGAACACGAAAAGAATTTTGTTTAGAATGCAAACAACAATATATCAATAGATGTTATTCATTCTTACAATCTTATAACTTCAGAAGTCAATATCTCTAGAACACATCAAAATTTATATTCCAAGTTTAACTATTTAACTCGAGTGCCCCTTGTGATCTATTTTTATAACTATTTCTAATAACCTTTGTACATTATTATTATATGTTCCTATAGAAGTGGGTAAAAATTTCAGCTGAGGGCGTCATATCATATAACTCGTAAAGACTATAAATACGTCTAACAATTACAATTAATAGGTTAATAATTACTCGAAAAATAATCAAAAACCAACGAGTCGAAACGCTAAACGAAAAAACATTTTCGTGATTAATTATCATCGATCCTTTTTCAAGCGCCAGGTTACAGCGACAGTGGGCCATTCGTCATTCCAGATAAATAACTGAATTTTAAAAACCGATCGATCATCGTTCATGAAAAAGTCATCGGTTATCAAGCATCAACCACCAAATTCCAATTACCATTCCCCGGCGTGAATCGTAATCGTTGAAATCAAAGACAATCTTACTCATAATCGCCATCAAATCCGCTGCGCCATTCTAGGGTGAAAGTATCGTTTCCTGCGATGTTATCGGAAAATTATTAGACAGCGTGCTCGTTACCCGTCGCCGTGCAAAGATAACGATCGTCCTTTATTTCGACCGGTCATTTCTCACGGGGATAATGGGATTTTTATATGCTCTATCTATTTCCGCGGAGTCGAGTGTAACGTTAATTTCCGTCGAAAATTTTTTCCACGATCGCGCGCGTGGGGCAAGAGTTAATTCCCTCGGGAACGTACGGGGCAAAAGTGGCGTTCCCCTTTGGGGGAAAAATATCGTCGCTTTAAACGACGAGGCTTTTCGTGGTGTCGTTTGCGTCTCCGTAGCGCGGCGTATTTAGAGGCTCGATTAGCGTAGGTCGGCGCGGCGTTAATGAAACTCACACAACGGCAGATTCGTCGGCCGTAGGGGCTTGATCCTCGGCAGGGTGTCGTCGAGGCCGCTGCTGCTGTCCACCACGTCCTGGGAATATTGGTCGTCGGTTTCTTTCGTTTGCGTGTGCACGCTCTCGCGTTTTATCCACACGTCTTGGGAATGCTTGTCGTTTCGCGAGTTCAACTTCGACGGACGCCGCCGGATCCTCTCCCAGGTCTCCTTGCGATGACACTTGTTGGACGACGGGGCTGCGACGAAAAAACGGAGGACTGTTTTGGACATCGTCGACAACCCGATTTCTTCTATTTACGGTCCACGAAATAGTTAAACGACCCCCTAGTTGCGTAGTGTATTGTCATTATGAAAGAAGAGCAAAGCTGATGTGGGTGCAGTACTCCCTCGTTTAATGCACGAAGGCATGTTGCGTTATATGTACAAATTTCATCCCCACTATTAGGGACAATGTAACATGATCCGCTGTCGAATATTTATGTACAATACTAAGGCAAATGTGGAACCTCTTTATTTTTTGTTTTTTCAATAGAATTTTTTTTTAACATATTCGTGATATTTTTTTTATTAAACTGACACCAAACTTAATATGATTCGGATGATATTTACGTATGTAATAAACTCTGGTAATAAATTACAGATACAAGTTCTTAATAAATATTAAAATATTTTCCTACAACGCCCCACAACTTTCCCCCAACACCTACATATTTCTCTTCTTCCAACTGTAGTCGTTTCGAACTTTTCCGAGTATTTTTCTTCTGCTTCTTCTACTCTTACATATTTTCATTGTTGTAGTAGTATAATATCAATCAGTGTTAAATAATATAATATTCCAGTACGAAGTACACAAATAAAAAATTTATTCTTCTTGAAGTTTCAATTGGACTCTGTCACGTACGTCGCGATAAAAAATCAACGAAAGCCCAAACGATCGTTTCTCCAATTTCGGTACAAAGTCGTGTGTTACGAAATATTCGCTGGAATTTCAGCGCCACGCGTAATATGGTTACAAGAGAGGACAATTGACTTACGCTTAACTATCCGTCGATCTGTACTTCTAGGAGGACTGGCGGTGCCAATGCCACTTTCGAGAGGAGATGCTCTGTCGGTTGTATCCGGCGAGAGACTTCCGGAGGAAATCTCGTCCATGCTCTGCAGAAGATCCTGCGACGACGACGAGGATCTATTGTCGTCGTCAACGGTGTCTTGCGGGGACGCTGGATCCAATGTGCTTTCATCTTGTAACGATTGAAAATCCATTTGCGATTCCGCTGCGAACATTCGAAGATAAGAGTAAATCCTCTGTATTAGACAATTTCTCTGGAAATTGACAGCGAAGATCAAGCTAATTAACGAAGCACAATTATACAATTGTCAATCTGCATCGAGCTTCGCTTCTAGTCCTTCGAAAATTTCTAAAAGCATCCGAAAATTGTTGCCTAGCAAAATTCATATACAAATTTTACTATACTGATACTGATTTCTCTGTTAAATATATGCACTGTTGTTTCACTAGTGATTATAAATTGTAATTGTAATAATTAATCCAGGGTTATTTTCATGTATGTTATTTAAAATTGTTTTCTTAAAACATAACACATGTTCTTATTTTCTAATTTAATTGAACAATTTTCGTTACTTAGAAAGAAGCATGTTATAAACACTTTAAGCTTTGTGTATTTATTGTAAGAAGGACCACTTGATTTGTTATCATTTAGAGTGCAGTTTTGGATAGATTAAATATTTTATTTGTTACTACAGGTGTAAGAGAAATTTAACAGAATATTTCTCTTACACTTGTACACACTTTCTATTTTGTATTTTATTCTGAATACTTATTTGTAAAGCATATACAAAATATAGTATAATTTTATGCTTCAGTGGCTTGAAAAGTCTTTATTATCATTAATGAGCATGAATTTGAATGTCAAGTATGACTACATAAATAAATAAATGAGTCAGATGGTAAAAATCGACACTGACTGTGAATTGCCAGATACTCTAAAAAAGTTTTAAGACTTCTCTGCTAATTTTTGTATCATACATGCTATTGACCACTAAAAAGACATTACAGAGATTTTAAAAAATTAAAATTGTATTATAAATTGAATTATATTTATAATCTTCTTATATATTCGCATCAACTGCTTTGACTAAATAACAATAGACTCGTTTCAGAAAAGTTACTGACAACTGAAATACTCGTATAACCAGAACTTCCAATAATGATCGACCAGTAGAAGTTTTAAGGGTACTTGGAAAAACTTGAAAGTTTACCTCTCGGAGACTCGCAATCGCTGACCCATGTGAAGCTCGAACTTCTCGAAATAGCTGGCGAAGTTTGCGTCGCCATGTCGGAGCAAGTGATCGAATCCATCGGTGGACTGTTCGGGCAACACGAGCCAGAACCGTTCCGTATCTTCGATAACAGAGATTGAAGAGAAATTGGTAGCTGAAAGTGTTTTGTTTCGTTACTCATAAAAGTAAAACTAGGCCCGCCAAAAAAAGACAAACTGCAATAAGTATCTTAGGATACTGAAAAAACGAACACGAGTTTTGAAATTATACGCCTCAATTGATGTTAAAAGAATGCACGCCAAATAATAATAACAAATGAAAAACTTTAAAAATGCCAACGATAATAATTTTACTTTCAAAAAGAAGAGAATAAAAAATTGCAAAAAAAATAATACATATTCTACCCAAAGACGTACTTACTCTTGAACCTTTTTAAAATTTTTGGCGACAACAAGAATCTTAAACAATTGAAAAAGTTTAGAAATGCCGACAATTTGATAGTAACTGTACATTTCCAAAAAACAAAACAAAAAACAATGGTGACAGTGAACATCGCAGCTCATAACTCCGGTCTCTTGCACGAAAGGAAGTCCCAAAGAAAAAAACAATAAAAACAACCAAAAAAGGTGTAGTACGACTCACCGAACCGGATCTGGAGCTCTGCTCGTCCATTATTTTCTTCGCGTCGAGGTTCCGTATTCGATCAAACTTTCCGCTATCGGCGCTGTCGACGGACTCAACGTTGTCGTCTTCCGGGAGATCGCAGCTGACGCCCACGTCGTTGGCCCTCGATCTCGAGAGCGAGAACTTTTTCAGATCCACCGAACTGATCTCCCTGACGTCCTTATCGGACTCGGACAGCCTCTTCGCCGATACGTCCGAGCGTAAAGTCAACGGCGAGACCGCTCTCTTTCTCGCGATACCCTCCTTCGAATTAATCCGATTCTTATCCGAGGGACCTCGCGACGTCTCGTTCTCCGAATCCAGAAAGTCCTGATCCGGCAGCGAGGACACTCTGACCAGAACAACGTCCTCCGTGTTCTCGCGAAACACTGGCGCGTGTTTCTTCCATAGCAGCTTGGAGAACGGGGACCTCTTCTCTTCGGTCGGCGTGACAGGGGCGGACTTTGGCGCGGACCCTTCGAAGGTTCTGTTCCCGCCTGGAACTTTATCCTCGTCGCAGTCGTAATCGGGATCCATGTGATCGTCGTTGCGTCGTATCCTGGACAACCTGGGCGTCCTCCTTCGCTTCTGGCTCATCAGGTTCAACGGCAGACTGGTCTTCCTGTGGGCGTCCAACCGCTGCCTCGGCGGCAATTTGGCGTTCGACTCGTCGATCCGCGAAGGCGCGGCGGTCTTCGCGTCGCTGACAACCTCGTTGATATTCGAACTTATTTCTACGTGTTTCTTTGGCTCGTCGTAACTGCATTTGAGGTAGTTGGCGCGCGACCCGTCCCTGTCGCGTCCGCGATCAAGTTTCGAGGGTAGACTAGAAGTGTTCCGATCGATCTGATCCTCCATGAACCTCGTCGGCGACGGATCGTGCGACTCGTCGTAGCCGTAGCTCTCTATCGGCGGGTATCGTCTGGAGATCACGTCCTGGAGATTCTCCGGCAAGCTACCGCTCTTTCTATGCCCGTTTTCCGGTGAAACGGACCGATTTTGCAGCTCCCCGTAGCCGGGGCTCAACAGGAAGCGATAGCCCGTCTCGTCGGAGAACAACTTTCCATTTCGTCGATCGCGGATCTCCTTGTTTCGCCGGGACGATGATCGATCGGTGCTCGTCCCGCACGAGCTTCCCGCGGAACTCTCGCTGTCCGATATGCCGAACTCGTTCAGCAGCTCCTTGTACTGCACGATCCTGGAGCCTTCCTTGTTTCCGTTCCGCTCCTGTCTCGATTTCTCTTTGGTCAGTTCGTAGATTTCTTTCTCTATGATCGTGTTGAACTCGGCCAGGATGTTGTTCGACCAATCGCCGATGTCGTCGGCGACCGTGCAGCTCCTGCCGGCCGAGTTCTGTCGTCTGAGGACGCCGCTATTCGCCGGAAACGGCTTCTTTTGGTCGTTCGCGTGGCTCGCGGGCTGAACTACTGGCTGGGGGTGGTACTTTGGTTCGTTCGCGATGGTCAGCGGAGTCGTTGGTGCCGATTCGATGATTTCACCAATCTCCTCCTGTTGGACAGAGAGGGAAATCAATTTTTAACAATATAGGTAAGGTGGAAAGGAGGATGCTGAGGGGTTCTTGGAGAATTTTTTGCGAATACAGTGACATTTTAAAATTTTATAGTCACTGTGAAACATAGTCAAAGGAATAAATGGGGGAAAAGATGCTGCAAATCGCAGTATTTAAGAAACATTTAAAGATAACAAGTAATTGAAAAGCCTCTGTTCGACAACGTCGTTCGACTCTGGCAGTATTTAGTTATTTGCTTTATTTACTTGTTAAAAACAAAGGCTTTTAAATTATTTGTTACTTTTAAATGTTATTTAGACGATAGTAGATGCGTCTATTGCCTTATAACAGAATACGTTGGAGCGATATAAATTTTCCGAGACAGTCAAAGTACGTTGACGTTAATGTCATTCTCCCGAGTACAGCTCTAATCCGTCTCGTTAAGTCTGAAAATGGCGTTTGAAAACGTTTCGTCCGTTAAGTAGCCAAGTTTACCTTAAGTCGAGTTATTACCACTTGCGTAACTCCCTTAACAATTCAAAATCACTTCCACTGCCTAATACGGGGCGCCGCGAGACGAATGCACCGGTCTGTAAGCGTGTCCGGATTATCGGGAGCGAGCCTAAGAAAACTCGAACAAGTGTCGTACAAACTGAACAGGTTTCTAAACCGGTGATCGAGGTTAATTGACCCTTGTCTACGCGGGGATAATTCCATAAATTAGAAACATCACTTTCTATGGTCGGTCGTGGACCGTACGACACGCGAAATAAATTGGAAAATTAAGCGTGTCCGTGATTTTTCATTTTCCCACGGCGAGAAAAGCATAAAGAACAACGGGCTCGCGTCGGTGCTGTCAGCATCATAACTGCTTCATTATGGCCCGATTTATAAATACGCTCCACCGATTTAACCGCGCGCGCGTTTCCATTTCTCGGCGCAAGGGTTCGCCAGACGAAGGGATTCTCGTCGAATCTCCCTTTCAGACACGAATAATAGGTCACCGGGAACTACGCAATTCGCTGTCATTAGCTGTCAATTTGTGCTTGGCTGTGATTTCGTTATCGGGCGTTTCGGTTCAATGTCTGACGAGAAACTGTTGCTAAATTGATGGGGGAGACACAAGTGTTCGGTTAAACGAATTTTCGAATAATAGAATGCTCCTTTTCTTGCATCCGTATTCCAGATAAAATGATAAACATGATATCATTGAAAATGAAAAAATAATACAGAGAAATAGTTTTCTTTTTCTAATTTCTAGAGTAGTTGGATTTCTAATGAAAACAATCTAAATGCCAGTAATCGTAGTTTTCTCTGTTTTTTAAATATATAAATTGCTATTATATTGGTTTAATGTATTATTGCTCGTAATATTTAATTTGCACTATAATGGAAGAATATATATATAATTGCATAATGTTACAGACAGAATCTAAAAAAATACGAGCTGAAAAATATTATAAATTGATATTACTGTGACTGTTTTAAAAATTACAATAAAATTCTTGACCAATGTTAATCAATTTTTACGTTGACAATTTGTCTAATTTTCTTTGATTTTTTAGAACAACAAAAAGGTATGAACTATGATACTGTAAAAATGACAAGGTTTGCAGAGAAAAAGGGTGCTATTTCCTTAGCATAACGCTTGCACAATTAGCGTTTAAAACCGTTGTGAAATTATAGTGAGAGGTTCTACCACATTTGTCTTATAGTCCACATCTCATCCATCAGATTTCTTTTTGTTTAGTCGCCTCAAGGAATCATTATGCTGAGTCAAGTTTCATAGCAACGAAGAAGTAAAAAAAAGCAAGTATTCTTATTGCTGGAATGTATAGAAGAAAAAGAAAAACAATGGAACAAGCGCAATATGTCAACAAATATGTAAATTGTAGAATTCTGTCAATTTGTCTCTGTCTATTATAATATAATATAGTGTAATATAATTCTAAGTACACATGTGTTTAGTGCTAGATATTTGACATGAAAATAATTATTTTACTATGATCAATACAAGATTTATTAACACTATATAATAAGCTTTAGACACTGTTTATTAATTAGACTGACGTACATATAGTCTCAAGTTAATATACAATCCGTATTAAGAAATTCATTATACCAGTGCAATAGTTAATATTTTCTGCAACCTCGTTTGTACAATTCAAACGTTTCAAGCAGAAGTTTCCAACGCCATATTTTCAACGTAATTCAACGACTGCACAACTTCAGAAGTAGGACTGAAGTTAAAATTCATCCCTACAAGAAGAAACATATATTACTCGAAAAGGAACGTTACTTTGTTAGAGAAACGAGTGGAGATGATTGATGGAACTGTATTGTTGGGAACTAACGAGAATTAACCCGAGGGGTAATACGAGGCAACAAAAAGACTCTGTACAACTATGTTGCCTCGAGTCAAACTTAGTAATTGTGTGTTAGGAAATACTTTAAATTCAACAATGATCAATAGGAGACATTCTTTGTTTTGATCAATCGTGTACATTTGGGAGGAAAAGTAAACATTTTTACCAATTAAATTCCTTCTAAGACTGTTGTCAATGAATTTTTACATAGTTTTTACTGTTTTGTTTTATTTACCTTGCAAGAACGATCTCATTGCTTCGTATTATTATTATTCTCGATATATAACAAAAATTAACATCTGTGAATATTGCTACTACTAAACATGAAGATTACCTTAGTTTGTCACTTGAGAATTAGAAGAAAAGGAAGCTTTTCTTTTTAGAGATTTAATAAAAACTCACGACAGCTGAAAACGTTAACATTTCTGGTATTCGTTATGCTCTTTGTGACTGTTTATATTTCATTGGTATTTTATAAAACTCAAAAATATTTAGGACTAAATTAGAATCATCGTGTCTTCTAACACGTGGGTAAAACAAATATTCTACATTATTATAGATTAGAAGAATAATTAAAAAGACCCAGCGTCTGGGGTTAAGTCTTATAATAACTCCAGAATTCCTATTAAAACATTTTGTTGAGCCCCTGGTCGTTCCAAGACCGAAATTCTAAGACTCAGAAATACCAATTCAATCATCCAGAAAAAAACGCCACCATCTTGATTCCAAATATATTCGATCGTAAGGTCGTTCTATTCTTTATTAGACAGCTCACCAATGGGGCCTGGAAATGTCTAATAAAAGAAAGTCCAGAGATTCCATCGCCTAAAACATCGAAACACCGAAGTGAAACGCCGAAGAGAAACGAAAAATTGAAAGTTATTCTTTGCCCGGTTTCATTAATCATTGCATCCGTCATCCTTTCGCACAGCGCGTGCGATCTTGCGATTGTTGCAAAGAGACGACGCCGTGCGTCGATTTCACGCGTTATTCTTTCTTCGTTCACGTTCGATCGTCGAGTCTCTCCCTTTTTCCGCGGTAACATTTTCATTTGCATCCGTCCTTCTCGAAAACGCGTCGTCGCGCTCCGTCCATTCAATTTGAATTTACATAAACCGTGCTCGATCCGACCGACTCACGTTTCATAGTTGATAGCAACGGCTAAAAGATCGCATCACCTTCGACGTCCGGGTGATCTATCAACTCGCGCCGCACTATGGCGCGCGTAATGAAAAGGTTGATTAAACCTACTCGGCTAGGTCGAATTGTGATTCCGTAGGTGAGATACTAAGACGCTGATACGGTGCCTCTATCATTAATCAAACAGGGAATATTATTCGTGCACGCCTTCCTTTTAAAGAGACGCTTCGATACAGCGCGACAGGCAGCCATCGAACTTGCGACGAAACTGAAAAAAATGGATCCCAAACGAATTTAGAGACTTTTTCAGCGGCCGCGATACGGAAGTCTTTGGTCATGGATCCTTTTTGCAAGGCATATTTCGTTCGCGTTATCTTGTTACGAAGAGTAATACGCCACGGTAATCGAGAATGTAATTGTGTTTCTGTCCCTGTAATTTCATTCGACTCCGCGATGCGCGATATCCTATCTTCAAATTGCATTCTGAGTCGTCTTTAACTAACAGTAAATTCAATTTGCATGATATAAGCTTAACGATCATCGATACAGTTCGCTCAAGACCCGCGGCAATATCGATCGGAATTCCCACTGCGAGGATCGACGGACGCGATGCTCTTAATGCAAAGACATCTCGAGGAACTGTCGCTGCAGTGGATGCAGCTTGTCAGATGAAATCAATTTTACCCGCACGCGATACGTTATTTTTTCTGTGAAAAAGAAAAGGTAATGCTCCGCCTAATTTTTCTGAATAATATGATCGATTATTTTTAATTTTGACATGTGTTAAAATTGTAATATATTTGACAAACAAATCCAACATATTTGAAAAATATGTTATTCGTTATAAATGGGATAACTCGTATATATTCAACGTGTTTATTTATTATTCATAACTTTCACCTACAATTTAAGAAGTTTTCTTTGTATGTACGTACACTTAATAGACAATTAGTAAATGAGGGAAGAATTTCAATGATAACTTTCAACAAGTTTTTTCATTTTTAATAACTTTGTTCGTTGCCCTACAGAAAAGTTGTGTAATACTTTTTTATAGGTACCCATGAGCTCTAAGTTAAAAAAAAGTTTCATTGAAATACATTGACTATTGTAGGAGTTGTAGATGTTTGAAAATTGAACCATTTTTATGGGGTTGTTCTTATTTTGCGGCCTCAATGAACAACTTTTCGAATATTTTTGCAACTTCTACATATTTTCCACTAAAATACGCGTAGTTTGCATTTTGTTCAGGAGTTATGACGTTTTAAAGATTTGCATGTCATTTTGGGGTAACATTTCTGGCCAAAAAATATATTTTCGGTAAGGAATTTTTTTCTCGAAAGTGCATAGAATTTCGGGGGTATGTCTATTGACCAAAAATGATTGTATTTGACTCGTGCAACTAAAAATATTTTTTTTAGAAGGATTTGAAACTTTTTAATTTTACCGAAAAATTTGACGACCTACTTGAATTTTTTTCTTGAAAGTGGATAGGA